ACGGCCGGGGCCGACGTCGCTCCTGCCCGCGCTGCCGCCTCGGCCTAGTGCTGCTGGCCGCCGGCCGACCCCTATGGCTACGCCGCGTCGCCGCGCGCCGTCGGACGCCGAAGACGAGGACGCAGACATGATCGCGGCGTGGAAAATACATCAGCCCCCCCTCCCACAGCTCATGCAAGCAATGGCGGCGGGCCTGGAACCTGTCGGGGGTCGTCCCGTGCCGACTTCCATGAGGCTGCGGCTCTCCACAGCAATATTATAGAGAACGATACGCAGTGCAGGGTGCGTCGGCTTTGTGCATGTCGAGGTCGTCCCGTTCCCACTGCCCTTCTGATCGGAAGTCTCTGCAAACTGCGCGCTGGTCAAGGAACATCTAAAACCAGCATCGGCCGAACTCTACGGATCTCATGCGTTTCTCTTCTCTCTCGCACCTCTGTGTGGCCCCTCGTACGTCTTGCTGGGTTTCTCTGCAGTGGTCCTGAAGCTCCCATACTTACGTGCACAGTTCTGTCGGTACCTAAACACTGGGGCCGTTCTCGGCATAGAACGCATCGCCACAGTCAATATGTAGTTGTCCGTGCCGAACTTGGTAGGCCCTACTTCGTTAGGGCTCTCTCGTGGCTGCCGGGGGGGGGGGAGACCTCTGTTGTGCTGGGGGCAATTCAAAGCCTCTTGGGGTCCGCAGGTAGCAGTGACGCTCGAGTCTCCCCCCGCATCTCGTGTCTCTTTCGCCGTACCGTATTGGTCTGTGTTCTGTCTTGCAGATCGCGGGAGGAGGAGGGCGAGACGCCACCGACACGACGTGTGCGTCCTCGCCCGCCGCCTCCAGCGCCTCTCGCGCTGGTGCCGAGGCACCCGACCACGCGCACGTAGATCGGGGGAACCGTGCGGCCCACCCGCCGAGCCCCTGCCTCCTCGCGCGGGCCCCGCCGAGCTGTGCACCCAACGAGCCGCGGAGGAGCCAGCCAGCACCCTGCCTTCACGTCGGGCCTGCCCCTCTGCAGGAGGAGTCTTCAGAAGTGGTCAAACATAGCCCGGGGACGATTTCTCCCATGATTTTTGAACGCTGTTTTGCGTATCCTTTGATCATGCTTCATGTCTCGCCCCACGTCCGCCTGTGGGCGGACATGCCCGACCTAACCCTAGCTGCTCCGTGATGCCGCGGCCTGCAGGATCTGGTGTGCGCCTTCAGACGCTTCGCGGCGCCCGGGCGCCGACGGCGCTTTTGCACGTCCTGCGCTGCACAGCCGCACAGGTCCAGCAGCTCGGCGTCGTAGCCCCCCCCAGCCGACGTCAGCCTGGAGAAGCTAAGGGGCGTTCCGCACCATCGTCGCGGCTCGCGGTCCCGCCTGCCCCAAACGCTTGCACGGGAACGCCGCCTTCACGGGAGTGGGGGAGGGGGCGAAAGGGCTGTGCTGCATTTGTACGGCACGCCGTCTTTACTCCGTCTTCCGCCCCGTCGGCGGTTTCATCCTCCTGGGGGTCCGTGGCATCTCCGCAGCTCGCGGTCTCTCCTTCCCCTGCCGCTTGGCCAGCTGCGGGTGAGGAGCACGAGGGGGGAAGGGAGGAGGAGGAGGAGGAGGAGGAGTGGTTTGAGGAACAGGATGGTGTTGTTTGCCGCTCGCCATGACGATGGTGATGCTGCTGACGAGGGTGCTGAGGACGAGCATGACAGTGAGCGTGACGGTGCTGATGGTGGCGGTGCTGACTTTGAGCGCGATGGTGCTGATGCTGCTGGTAATGGTGGTGATGGCTGTGGTGATGCTGATCGTGTTGTGATAGCCTTCTGGTGACGGTAACAGTTACGAGTGCGATGCAGTTAACGTTGGCGATGACGATCCTAATGGTGTTGCTGCTGAGGGCCATGCTTACGAAGACGATGGCGACGTCGTCGGCGATGACGATGATGCGAATGATGAGGATGATGCGGCTGATGATGCTGCAACTGCTTCTGAGTGTTGTGATCGTTGCAATGGTGCGTGCCGCAACCGCTGCGGGTCTTTAGTTTGTGCGGCTCCATGCAAGATCTCGCCCACGCTTTCGGAGAGGTCGCGCGATGCGGAGCCCAGGCCTTGGGAGCCTCCGTGGTGGCGTGGGCGGCGGCGCCGAGCTGCGGGGCTTGCGCGCCACAACTCGCCTGCCCATCCATCCCCGCGTGCGTCTGCGTGGGAGCGGGCGGCCTGGTACCTGAGCCCTCTTGCGGATGCCTGATCCTGGCTTGTTCCGCTGCGGCGCTGGCGTCAGGTTCCGTGTGCGGCCTGCTCGGTGGGCTCCCGCTGGCGGAGCGCCTCGTGCTGACGGCGGGCGAGGTGCAGGAGCAGTCTTTCGAGGAGGAGGCTCGCGCCCAGGCGAAGGCCATCCGACGCAAGAATACCGCTGGGCTCTGAGATGGCGCACCCCTTGCACTGGTGTCTGATCAGATACCGCGTCGGAGGTGCAGCAGTCTGGCACGAGCACCTCATAGTGCTGCGCGGCCCTGGGACAGCGCACTTCGTCATCACCCCCGGCGGCGACAGGTGCGAGGCGGGCGCGGCGCCCGACGCCGACGTCGCGGGCATCTCGATGCTGGCTGGGCAGGGCGAGCGTCCAC